GCCATGGAGAGTTTTTTCAAAAAAGTCTCCCCTTTTGAGATGTCTTCTTTGACTCATGGATTGTTTAGAAGTGAGTTGCTTCAAAAATCATTTTTTTTCTGCTTATCCTTCAGTTCTTGAGTTTTAGTTTAATACAAAGAAGATTCTTTGTATGATTTCAATTATTTGAAATTTGTTGCTTTGTCTCTTTTCTTAAATGTTCCATGTGCACTTGAGGAGAATATATATTCTGTAATTGTTTTGTGTAGTGTTCTGTAATAATATTGTTCAGGTCTTCTGTATCCTGACTTTTTGTATTTCGTCTGCTGTTCTCTCAGTTACTGAGAGAGGTGTTTTGAAATCTCCAATTATGATAATTCTTGAGACTATATTAATTAGGCAAATAGAAATTTAGGATTGTTACATCTCACTTTTTAATGGACTGTTTAGTCGTTATGAAATGCCTGTCTTGATATGTGTAGTGATACTTTTGCCTTTAGATCTACTTCTTCTGATATTAACATATTTACACCAGCTTTCTTTTCCATCCTTTTCCATCCTTTACTTTACCTAGTGCTTATATTTAAAGTGTGTCTCTTATAAACTGAATATAGTTGTTTTTTTAAATCTAGTCTGACATTTTTTATCTTTTATTTAGTTTGGTTAGTCCATTTATGTTTACTGGTATAATTAGGTTTAAGCCTATAGTCTTGCTGTTTCTTTTCTTTATGTACCATTTCTTTATTCTCTTATTCCTCCTTTCAAATCTCTTTTTGGATTTTTTAAAAGTTTTGCCTCTATTAACTTTTAGTGAGTTATGTATTCTTTTTTAAAATTTTTACTTTTTAAGAGGTTACACTACATATAACAATATGCATTCCATTAGAACAGAACTAAACAGATAAGTGTGGATGCCAGCAATGTGAAAATGTTCAGAGTTATGGAAACTACATGAGATCTTCTTGTACATCAGTGTAAATATATGAGAGATGTGGTCTTGTGGCTGAATCCTGGGGCACTACAAGGTTTAGAAGTGATGATGATAAGGAGGAGTGAGCAGTGGAGACTGTAGGAGGAATCTGAGAGGATGGAGTAAAATTGAGAGTATGTGATGTTCTGGAGGCCAAGAGAAGAATGTATTTCAAGGAGAGGCAAATGGACCTCAGATTTGAAGTTGGTATTTTAACCTTGACTTTTTTGAAACAAGAATACAGCAAGGAATAAGAGATACAAACAAATAAAACCCCACTTTTGAATGAACTAGCAGATGATTTAACTCTGAACCTCAGAACAAGTGGAAGGGTTGCCAATAGCCGTGAAAAGTGAAGTAGGGGTGTTTGCAGAGCTGCAGAATGCAGAGACGTTGCTTTTAGATGGAACCTCAAATTGTCAAACCTAATCTTTTAGAACATCAGGAAGGACTTTTAGGATGGTGGTAGCTCTTTGTACAGGGTTTCTTTCTGAGATGCAGAGGGATGGGGTTAAATGAGAACTTATACACACAAGCTATATTAGAAAGATGCAGTCTATCTCTGAGGTAGTAGAAAATGAAAAAGACTTGACACTTGAAAAAAATAGAAAGACTTGTCTTAGTTGTTTGGAGAGTAGTAAAGACTGAGCAGAATTGCATGCAGTGCCCTTGTCATAAGAAATATTCCTGCCAGCTTTGAATATAGCCCTTGGTTTAACCCGTGGGAAAGTCTTGCAAATAGCTGCATCATGAAAGACTCACCTCCTTCAATGCTGAGTAGTTAAAAAGAAGCTAACACAAGATGCATTCAAAGTTATTACGAGAAACAGGAGAAGACAGGAAAAGCAAGTGGCAGGGGAAAAATAATTCACCTGAAAAATGTTGCCATGGAATACCTGAATATTTACTAATTTTTAATATAAATTAACTGAATGAAATAATGGCTTCTGGTGTACAAGAACATAAAATAGGAAAATAAGAGGTTTTTTTGTTTTTGCTTTTTTTTAATTTTTTGTTTATTGCAGTAACGTTGGTTTATAACATTGTATAAATTTCAGGTGTACATCATTATACTTTCTGAAAGAGATAGTAAGACCACAACAAGATGTGTTATGAGCTGTGGTATATCACAGGAAATAATTGGAAAAAAAAGAATAAAATCACTCTAGTAATCAAAGTACAATTTGAAGAAACAGAGGTAGAAAAGACTTTGCTGAAAATATAATAGGGAATATGGAGGTTAGAAATGAGAAACGTAAGCAAAAGGCAAAGAATTTGGAAATAGTACCTGACATAAAGTAATGGCTTCTCGTTTTTATTACATATGTTTTACAATTTTTAGCCCAAATTTCCTTTGCCAAGAAAAGCTCATAGAACACTTCAGCTCAATTCTCCTTCCATATCTCTTCATCAAGAAATTCATTCCTAGTCATATAATTAGAGTACTTGGTAGTTTACTGATACTTCACTTCCCACCAGGATTTTGACCCCCAAAGAGAAAGATCTTGGTTTCACTCTCTCATAACCAAGTATTACATATTATTAATGATTTTGCTTAATCATGGAGCCAGATGTAGAGTTCTTTCATAATAATTCAGAAAGTGTTACCACAAATTCTTTCTGAATATATGTGCTGAGTCATCAAAGAGTAGATTCTCATTTGTCAAGTATACATTGACATAGAGACTGAAAAATCTTCTTGTCTGTATCTTAACAGAAGTAACACATGCCTGTGTTAAAAGTTATCATGTCATCCCCCTCATAAACACACATGAAGCCCTAAGATAAACAGGAAACTTATGGTGGGCTTTATATAGATTTGTTAATAACATTTAAACATTTATTTTCATAATAAACCAACATTTATTATTAATATCACTATAAAGTGTTAAATACCTTATTCTATACATGCTTTTTTAAAATTGTTCATTCATTAGCATTTTACCATATTTGCTGTTTTTTTACAGAAGTATTTTTTCCTGAGTACAGACCTTTAGGGGCCGGCCTGGTGGCTCAGCAGTTAAGTGTGCGCGCTCTACTTCGGCGGCCTGGGGTTCATGGGTTCGGATCCCAGGCGCACCCTATCGCACCGCTTATCAAGCCGTGCTGTGGTGGCATCTCATATAAAGTCGAGGAAGATGGGCACAGATCTTAGCCCAGAGCAAATCTTACTCAGCAAAAAAGAGGAGAATTGGCATTGGGTGTTAGCTCAGGGCTCATCTTCCTCACAAAAAAAGAAAGAAAGAAAGAAAGAAAAAAGTACAGACATTTAGTGGTTCACTAGATCTTTTCAGTATGAAGGCTAAAAATTTGTGTTTGGTAAAGCTCTCCAGATAATTCTAATAAACATCATTTGTTAAATACCATTGATTTAATATCTGTTTAGAGTGTTGAAAGAAAATCATAGAGTTATAGCTGCCAGGAACATAGTTGATGAATGAAAACCAGAGCTGACTGAAATATTTTAAAATTCAGTGTTTAACAACGATTATTAATGTTGTAGCTATGCAGCTCATATTTGTGTTAAAATAAATTATACAAACAGTCCTTTCAATTTTTTTAGTAAATGAAGCTGAAAGTGGTGGGGAGATTTTGGAAGGCAGCTTTTTAAAAACATTGTTGGACTGTAAGCCAACAGAATGAAAAAACATGTTTAAGATTGTGGATCAGAATGAGCAATTTATTAGGGACAAACAGCTGGGCTTGCCCAGAGCAAAATATAATCATTCTAGATTTTTTAAATGATTATTTGATTCTAATCTGAATCCAGATGTAATGATATGTTTGCCTCATTGATACCATTCTAAAAAATGTCGGTTCTTAGGACATTAGACTCAGGGAAATATAGTATTGTAGATAGGAGGGGAGTAAAAACAGGCATGCATAACCAAAACTATCTTAAGATAAATGAAAGTTCTAGGACCAGGTTTAGAATTGTATTCCTTAAGGTTTTCATGGTGTAGATGCAGAAACATATATATAAAAGCAGAATTGAAGACTAATATTAAGATGATATTTGTTTGCGGGAAAGCCAGAAAACATTGGAACAGGGTTTGATGGTCAGGAGAGGTCCACTGTTGAACAACTCTGATGGAATAAAGAGAAAATACCATAACCAGAATAGAGCTATAAATCCGATCCTATGGCAAGGATAGCTTGACCACTCATTGATTTTTTTGCATATTTTTATGCAAAATATGCTCTTTTGTTGCATATTTTTATTCCTAGTGAATCAGAGCTAGAAATAGAATTAGAGCTTTGGTTATAGTACTGTTCCTTTATGAATTAGAGCTCTCAGAAATTTGATTTGTTGTTGCTCTGTAGAATGGAAAAGAGAGATGAAATTGCAAGTGTGTACATTGTTGTCATAATCTAGGCATGAAGAGATAATGACCTAAACTGGTCCACTCCCCTGAATCTAATGCTAACTCTATTTCTCCTAAATATTCTTGTCAACTAATTTTCCTTGTCGCTATTTATATTTCAGAATTAATTAATAGCAGTAGAAGCTATTCAAGAAAGTTCAATGAGTTTAACAAAGGTGGAAAACAGCTCCATGATGATAAGCATGAAAGAATTCGTTCTGAAGAGAAGCCTCATGAATATAATAAAAATAGGAACGGCCTCTGTCTCGATGCAGACTTTGTTCAGCATCAGGATATTCAAATTTTGGAGCAGCCTTTTGAATACAATGAATGTGAGAAAGCTTTTTGTGAGAATTCACTCCTTGTTATACATAAGAAAGCTTACACAGGACAGAACACTTGTGAATACACTGAATATGGGAAAACCTTTTGTGATTTATCATCTCTCATTGCTCATCAGAGAACATATCCAAGAGAGAATCACTGTGAATTTAATGAATGTGGAGAAAATTTCTTTGAGGAATCCATTCTCTTTGAACATCAGAGTGTTCACCTTTTCAGCCAGAAGTCAAACCTCATTCCAGTTCAGAGAACCCACTCAATTGACAATATAATTGAATATAATGAATGTGGAACCTTTTTCAGTGAAAAGTTAGTCTTTGGTGTACAACAGAGAACACACACAGAAAAGCCCTATGAATGTCATGAATGTGGAAAATCCTTCAACCAGAAGTCATCACACACAAGACATCAGAGAACACACACAGGGGAAAAGTCCTGTGAATGTCATGAATGTGGGAAAACTTTCTACAAGAATTCAGACCTCATTAAACATCAGAGAATTCATACAGGGGAGAAACCTTATGAGTGTCAGGAATGTGGGAAATCCTTCAGTGAAAAGTCAACCCTCACTCAACATCAGAGAACACACACAGGGGAGAAACCATATGAATGTCATGAATGTGGAAAAGCCTTCTCATTTAAGTCAGTCCTTACTGTACATCAGAAGACACACACAGGGGAGAAGCCCTATGAATGTTATGAATGTGGGAAAGCCTTTCTCAGAAAATCAGACCTCATTAAACATCAAAGAACTCACACAGGGGAAAAGCCTTACGAATGTAATGAATGTGGGAAATCCTTCTCTGAGAAGTCAACCCTCACTAAACATCTGAGAACTCATACAGGTGAGAAACCCTATGAATGTATTGAATGTGGAAAATTTTTCTGCTACTACTCGGGTTTCATAGAACATCAAAGAAGACACACAGGGGAGAAACCTTTTGGATGTAACGAATGTGGGAAAAACTTCCGTCAGAAGTCAGCCCTAATTGTTCATCAGAGAACTCACATAAGACAGAAACCCTATGAATGTAATGAATGTGGAAAATCATTCTGTGTGAAGTCAAAACTCATTGCACATCATAGAACACACACAGGGGAGAAACCCTATGAATGTAATGTTTGTGGAAAATCATTCTATGTGAAGTCAAAACTCACGGTACATCAGAGAACACATTTGGGGAGAAACCCTATAAATGTAATAAATGAGGGAAATCACTGTGGGTGAAGTCAAGAGTTTATAGATCAAAGAACACAAAAGGGGAGAAACATCAATTAATATAATTTTGAGAGTACCTTTAGTCTAATGTCAGTTCTCACAATACAGTAGACAACTTTCAGAGGGAAGAAAATAATATGAAGATATTAAATATAGGAAGTTTTTCTACTGGACTTTGGACCATGTAGTATATCAGAAAACTCAGAGTGGAGAAAACCTATTGGTAAATGAATATAGGGAACTTTTTGCTCAAAGCCGCACATCACTAAACATCAGAGAAATCACACAGGGTAGAAACCTCTGTCAGCTCCATGGGGTAGAGAAGACTTCATCCACAAGTCAGCGAAAATGCACAAGCTATAAGAAATTGTTTACTATGAAGTGGTATTTTATGGGACTTGTGTGAAATGCTTGAAGTAGCATCTCAGTAGGCATCAGATAGTTACTGGAGAAAATACTTTTAATTTTTTAAAATGTGTGCAAGCTTTAAGTTAAAATTTATCATATATCAGATTTTGAATTGAAGGGTATCTAGCAGTTTAGGAAATGTGGAGAATGTTTTTCATTTAGAAATAGCATTTTACTTTGTTAAAATACAATATGGTTCATTGCTGGGTCTGCTGTTCCCTTCTGTTTAAGATATTGGTTGTGAAAACACACCACACTCCAACCAGTGGTTGCAAGCAGTTCAGAGGTTTCTTGCTCAGGCATATGCAAAACAAGAGAATATTTTTAGCAAGAGGACCTGCCGACAAGAAAATTTTATGATGGCCAGATGGAGAGAGAGAGAGATCCTGGTCTGGTGACATACCTGCTAGCAGGATTTTTGAATAATTCTGGGGCAGACTAATTTTGAGGAGCCTGTTCCTGGAATGGTGAATCAAAGGGACAAGGTGGGTCGCCTTGCATGCAACTTATTGGGTGTAGTAGAAGTGAGTGAGTATGTAACGTAGGTGGTTTCTGCCCTGGCAGATGTTTAACAATTTGGCCAAATGTCATCCTGCTGTTTGTGACTTATTGCACCTAACTCTATTTCTCCACATACCCAACACATTTCAGATGTGATGTAATAATTTTTAGAAAAACCAAAACATTTATATACAGACATATACACAGTTAAATATGGAGCTTTAGAAGAGCACAAATAGATTGAGCCACTGAGTAGGATACAGTAGCTTGCAGCAGACCAGGGCACTCACTAGGAACAGCTAACAAAAGCAAATCACAAAAAGCATCTATTTAAATGCAACCTATTGCTGCAGAAACAAAGAAGACTAGAGTGGTAAAATTCAGGAGAGGAGGGAAACACAGAAAGTACCTGGGCAATATGCAGCTCTTTTACCTGGGAGCACTTGCCAGTTCTGGCTACAGGGAGTAACCTGAGTATTGAGCTTGGCTCGAGTAGAGGGCTATAGCTTGTTGGGCAGGAGGGCACGGGGAGACCAGAAGCCAGAAAACAGCAGAACTTTGGCAGTCAACCTGGAGTGAAAGTTTTTGAAACATTAGAGTCTTCAAACAGATAGCCAGTTTCTCAAGAAATTTTCAGAAGACTGACTCAGCATAGGGCAAGAGCCTGGAAAACTAAGCTGAAAAACACAAGTAGATTTTTATTGGTACCGAGAAAAAAATGATTTGTATTCAAGAACTGCCAGTAGGATGGGCCCTTGGTGAACACAGCACACTGTCAATAAAAGCACAAGGTCATAGCCGAGGTAGGTTGTACCTTATCAAAACTGCAAACAATACCTGAATGGTATTTTAGAAACCTGCACAGAAAAAAAATTCTAAGAACAGATGGCTTCACTACAGTTATTCCAAATATTTAAGAAAGAAAGAAAGAATACCAAGCTTTTGTAAACTTTTCCAGAGAAAGGAAAATAGAACTTTTCCAATTTATTTTATGATGCCAGTACAACGTTGATACCAAAACCTGTAAAAGACATTTCAGGAAAGTAAAGTTACAGACCAATATCTTATGAATTTAGATACACAAACCTAAAATAAAAAAAAAAAAAAATCTAGTCATATCCACAGATGATATGTCATGACCAAGTGATGTTTATTAGAGGAATCAAAGTATGATTATTTAAAATTCAGTCAATTTGGCCTTCTATTCCTCTTCTCACATTCCCCTTTCTCCCTGGCTCTTTATGTTTCTCTCCTGCCTTCCCTTCCTGGAGTGGGTGAGTCGGAGCAGGCCTGCCATGGGGGATGAGAAAGGTGTGATGGTGTGGCCACTTGCATCAGGAGTGCTGAGGGCAGATGGAAGAGGTGGTCAGCATGGCTGAGATAGTGGTAACATTGAGCAAATAATAAAATGTGTTGAGCACGATGAGAGCCAGGTATCTCACTTTTGGTGAGGGAATTTATAAAAATAGAAAGGGGGGAAATTAGAAAACCTTGAATTGTTGGATTGGAGTATAACTCATATCTTCTAAATACACAGAAATAGTTATAGTAGTGAGTGTGTGTGTGTGTATTTTATGGATCTGTCTGCTGAGATGGCCTAAACACAATGGCGTCCCAGTAGCAGTGAGTACACCAAGTGCCAGATTATTAATTTGTAAACACTATCCACCAAAAAAGGGACCAGATCTCTGGAGTGATGGCTGATTCTAGGTCAGAGATGGGGAGAAATACAAGATGAACCCAAATCATCTTATCTGCCAGACAGTAAGAAAATGTTCAAAGAAATATGGAGAATTCAAAAGGACAAAAGAACCACCTTGGTTCCACTAGCCAAATTTGAGACAGTTTGAACATCAAAATAAATAATGATAGCATCAGAATAAAAGAAAATAAAATGGGAATCCAATAATTTATACTGATACAAATAAATGAAAAAATAACGAGGAAGAGAAGAGAAAGCTTTTCTTTACAGTAGAATGCCAACTAATAAATGTAGGAGGAATGGGAGTAGAAAAACGTCATTTGGCAGCCATCAGATTGGTGGTTGATTTGAGAGGTAGTTGACAACATAGGCTATAGTTTGTGGGTGGAGGTTTGATGAAGAACGGGATATTGGCATAATGTCAAACTATCTCCCCACAAAATACTAATCAACTACAAAGGCAAAAGTGGTGATTTTATGATAAACCTGGCAAACACAAACATGATCAGGTGACCAAAGTTCACCTCACTAATAGTAGAACAGGTCAACATGATGTACCCTCTGATGAGATGCACCGAGAACAGCCAGCATCATTTGTGTGGTCTTCTTGCCAAGAAAGTATGACTGGAGTTTGCTTATGAGGAGACATCAGATGAACCCATTTGAAAGTTTATTTTACAGAATGTAAAGCCTGTATTCTTTAAAACTGTCAAGAACCTAAAAGGAAAAGACTGAGAGACTGTTCCAGATTGGAGGAGACTGAAGATAGTTAAAAATAAAAAGGAAAAACAGACATTGTTAGAACAGTTTGCAAAATTCAGAGTGTATAGATTGTACAGTAGTGTTTATCAGTGTTTATTTCCTGACTTGGATAATTGTTGGGTGGTTCTGTAGGTTAGTGCCTTTGTTTGGGGAAAATATATACTTCAGTATGTAGGGGTGATGGAGTGTCATGTCTGCAGCTTCTCTTCAAATGCTTTAGAAAAAGGCTAGTAATAATTGTGTGTGTGTGTGTGTGTGTGTGTATAGAGATTGCAAGCAAGTGCCCAAGTGATGGACAGAGGAAATGCAGTGCACAGTTGGGAGAATACGAGTGAGGGGGATATGGGAGTTTTTTGGTACTAGTGACATTTTTAGAAGCTTGAAATCATTTCAGAATAAATATTCAAAAGTTTAAGTAAATTGACATAAGCTACCATGTTAGTAGAAAAAAATAAGTGAAGCCATATGGTTATTGCAATACTTGCAGAAAATGTATTTGATGAAACTTTAGGCCCATTCCTAATTAAAAAACTAAACTAAACTATGAGAAGAATGAAACTTCATCACAAACAAAAGAAAACCAACATACAACAAACATAATACTAAATAGATAAACATTGAAACATCTTGTCCTGATGTTAATAATGAGACACCTCATTGTTATAGTGGTAATAATTGTTACCACCTCTTCTATTGAACATTGGACTGAAGGCTCTAGCTAGGTCAGTAAGGCAAAAAAAAAAAAAAAAGGTTAAAGAGAAAAAAATGTTTAAGGCACAAAGACTGGGAAGATTGAAGTACAACTCATTATTTGCAAGTGATATTGTATACATAGAAAAGTAAAAAAATATATAGAAAACTTATTAGAAATAAATTAAAAAACTCACTATAGAAAAATTGTATTTTTATATGTAAACAACAAATAGAAAACAAAATTAAATGATATGAGGACAGTTGTATCCATCCAGGATAGGGTAGCAGAGACCAGATTTACCCTCCTGCCTGAAAAAAACAGGGAAAAAGAAAACAGACAAAATATAGGAAATAATTGTTTTCAAGTCACTGGACATCAGGCAGTAAAGGGCAGTGATCCCTGTAAGTGATGGATAGGGTCACTATCTTTATTGTGATGATGGTTACACAGGTATATTTATCAAGATGTACACTTTAAATACTGTGGAATTGCTGTTAAATTTACAGCAGCACTAAAACAGTAAGTTCTAGAGGTCCTAAAACTATATCACAAAATTAAGAGACATTAAAAACCAAAATAAAGGAAAGGAGATACTTAACTGTGTTGATGATTTTGAAGCCTCTTTTCTCCCCAAATTGAATGATAGATTCAGTGCAACCCTAATCTATCCAGCAGCAAGTTTTGTTGTTGGAGGTTTACAAGTCTGAATTTAAAATGTATATGCAGATACAGTGACCGTAGCTAAGGCAATCTGAAAATAGAAAAATAAGGCTACAGGACTTAGATTGCTAGATATCAAGACTGTGGTTTTGGTACAAGGATGCACAATGTCCTGAAACAGACCAAAACATATTGATAGATGACCAAGGTGACACTGTAATATTGTGGTGAAAAGATGGTTTTCTTGATAAATGATGCTGGATTAATTGGTCCTCTATGCAAAAGAGAACATATTTTGACTGTAACCACCCACCATACACAGAAATCATTGCATATGGATTGTACATCTAAATGTGAATGGTCTTACAATAACACTTTTAGAATAAAGTATAGATGAACATCATGACTTTGGCTAAGACATCTTAAACAAGAAACAAAAACAAACCATAGAGAAATTTTACTGCATTAGAATTAAGAACTGCTGTTTGTTCAAAAAACAAAAAAAACTACAAAAGTTAAAAGTCAGCCACAGACTGGGGGAATGCAATTGCAGTGCATGTGTCTAACCAAGGACTCATACTGAATTTATGAAGAACTACAAATCAATAAGAAATAGTCAGATAGAAAAATAAGCAGAAGATTTGAACATAATTCACACGGAGTATATTTAAATGGCAAGTAAATGTATGAAAAAGTTGCTCAACTTCATTAGTCATCAAGGAAAGGCAAATTATAACAGATAAAATACCACTACACACCACAATGTCTAAAATGATTAAAATACCAACTGATGAAGATATGAAGCAACTGGAACTCAATACGCATTTGCTGGGAATGTAAATTGTATGGTTTGGAAAAGAAACTCTTCTAAAGCTGAACACATGTAAATTTTGGCTGTAATTCTAGGCATATGTCCAACGGAAATACAAATATACGTTTACTGAAAGAATATTCATGGTAGTACTCTTCTCACTAGCCTAGGAGTAGAAACACCACGAATATCCAGCAACACTAGAATGAATACATAAATT